TGGCAACACCAGTAGTTGATGGCAAGTATGGAACATAATCCTCTACTTCAAGTTTGACTTTAGATCCGTCTGGTTTCTTGAAGTACGGCCTACTGTAAGCGGGCCAATGGAAGCTTCATCCTGCGTCGATGCAGCGTTGTCCTACCGAAACGACGGCTGGGCTATCTTCCAAGACGTAAGGATTGATGTCAGCTCCCAACACGGGGACATTGACTCTGGCTTGGTCAGTGGCTTGAAAGACTCCGTTGGCAGTAAGAAGACTGACCGGTTTGGACGATTGTGACACTTCATCCGAATGTAGCATATGCCTAGACACAAGATCGTGTGCGCTCCCAGTGTCTGCGATCCATGCAATCTCAGTGGCAGGCACTGTTGGACATGACCTCCTCCCAAAACACTTGATGCAACCTATATCGGAGTTGCACAGGTACGAACATTCTGCCGGCAAGGACGAAAGTTCGTTCCCAACAGCATTCTGAAGGTGTAATGCTGCAATGGATGCGTCCTCAGTAGCGACACGAACTGCCTCAGCATGCTCCGGTCGACCTGGTGTAAAAGGTCTTCTTTTCTTCTTACTTCGGGGTTGAACGGATCTCCAACTGGAAGAAGACTCAACAGCATGATTGAAAATGTTTGGTTGATCGTCAAAACGAACTCTTTGCGTAACAAAACTGTCAATGTTTTCTGTGTTGTCAAAATCGGTGCACATAGTGTTTGATGCGGAAAGGACTGGCATGGCCACGCTTCCCAGCGGGCGAGTGATGAGGACGGAGGATCCCTGAGAGACCACTGCGGCCATGACCACTGCTCGAAGGAGGCATACCGCTGCCGGTGCATTGGAAGAAGAAGACTTCCCACCTTTTCTCCTCTGACTCTCAGAGCCAGTTGAGTTGTCGGAGCCTGATGATCCTCGTGAGCTGCTTCGCTTGCGAGGTTTCTTGTCTTTCTTCTTCTTCTTCTTTTTGTCCTCTTTCTTCGCAGGGACAGTCTTTTCAGGGTGTTGGAATGCGCAGTCTTTTCCTCGGTGGCAATGTCCTGCCTTCCAAAACTTGCAAGTCTCCTTGCGAGATCCTGGTGTCAGCGATCTTGATCGAGATTGGCTGCGATCCTTACCCTTTCCCTTTCCTTTGCTTTTCTCGCGGCCTTTTTCGTGCTTGTAAGGACATGATGATCCGCGCTTGCATTTTCCGGTCTTTTGAAACTCGTAGCAGATGCCTTTCTTCTCCTCCGGAGCTGGCATGGTTGTGTCTTTGGACCCGAGCGAACGCTTCGTGGCGTCGCGCATCTTTTCCAACCTCCTCCGTTCGAGGTAGGCCCGGGCAGCTGTAATCAGGAAGTCATACGTTCTTTCTTTGCTTCCATCCGCTGCACGGTCGTACAAGGCCAAATCATGCTCAAGCGGCTTGAAACGTTTCACAGCCAGGTGGAAATAGGCTTCCAGAACACTATTTTCTGGTTCCTTTTTCATTCCGGCAAGAACGCTATCCCATTTATTTATAAAGCCCTTGAGGTCATCGTTGACCATCTTGACGGACATGAGGTCTTCGAGTCCGTAGATTGCTCCATGCTTAATGCTTGTGGCAAAATACTCGTGGAACCGAAGGAGCAAATGCCTGCCCTTCACGTTCTTGTCTTCACGAGCTCGCAGCTCCTTGAATGTAGCAATCTGCCGACCGAGGTCCCCCTCAGCGCAATTAGTTAAGCTTGCAAGAAGCTTTGCGTCAAGGGTTGCGAATCCCTCTGAATCATCCAAGGCATCGATGGTTTGGGATTCCTTGTACACTTTCCCAACCCATGATCTCGCTTCATCCGGCTTTGCTGAAGCTGCAGCAATGTTGTCCCTCACCTTGATCTTCCAGTCTCTGTACTTCTCAGGTGTAGGGAACTTAGGAATGAGAATCTTGTCAGCCTCTTTGGCTTTACTCTCATGATCCTTGTCTTTCGACTTCCTTTGCTGCTTCTTCAGCTCCTTGCGAATGATGCGTGCAAGACGCGATGATTCAGAACTTGAGTCATCGGAGTCATCACTCCCTCCTGATGAGCTGGGTGATGAGGGTGATGGAGAAGGTGAGCGTTTCTTTCTGCGCTCCCTAGAGCGGCCCCTCTTTGGGCTCTTCTCTTTCTTCTTCTCTTTACCCTTCTTCTTCTTGTCTTTCTTTGATTTGTCACCACCCTCTTCATCAGCATCGGATGGATGAGGCTCTTCACCGCCTTCGATCCCGGGCTTCTCCAATTGAGTGCGAAGGCTCGCAGGAGGCAAAGCTGGGGATACCTGAGATCCAAGTGGCTGCATAGATGGTGCAGGCACTCGGTTCCCCGAGGCGTTATCAAACCTCTCTCTCAACTCCTTGATGATTCGACTCTGTTCTGCTAACTCTGACCGAAGTGCATCCTCTCTTTGCTTGGCAGAGGCGCGTTCGTTCTCAACGACGGCGTGTCGTTCGAGCGAAAGGCGATCTAGGTAAGCCCGTTGTTCATGAAGATGTTGATTTTGGTGGGCTTGGTTCATGTCACTCAATCGTTGACTGGCTAAAGCTTCAATTTGTTCCCTAGACTCCTGGACAGCCACTTTAGCTTGGTTCTCCACTAAGTCTCTAAAAAGTCTAGCATCCTCTGCTACTTGTTGCCCATGCTCGGCCAAAATGGCCTGATGCCTCAACTCCGCGATCTGAGCTACCTGAGCTGATCTATCCTCATTGACGAAGACGGCTTGTTGATGAATCTGTCTCGCATCAACGTTCTGAACATTCATCACAGGAGAAAACTCAGGTTGAAACGGCGATGGAGCTTGAACACTAGGCAACAGGTCCCCCTGTGCACTGAACGTCGGCGGCCCAATTGGCACACGCAACTCCAGCGGAACGACAGGGAGCTCAGGAGCAGGCGAACTGGACATCGCAGGCGAAGTAGGAACATAGCCTGAACGTGAGCGTTCTCCACGGGAACTATCATCATCAGCCATGGCCCCTAGATAGTGCACTACCTACGGTGGGGTGAGACCACAGCTAGTAGAAAGCACGTACCGCACTTTTGGCGATACGGCTGATAACCTGTAGTTACAGGTAAACGACCGAGAACTACCAACAAGTCGCACCTGGTTTTCCTTGAGCCAAACGGTAGGTAAGTGAGACATGTATTAGACATCCTAGCGTGAAACTACACGACGGAGGAGCCTATGGTAGGATAGATGCCCCCTATTTGTGGTTTTGTGAGTTCAGGGACGAGTTGATCAAACAAGGCTGTCGTCAATCACCTCTTGACCCATGTGTTTTCTCTTACTTCTCCAATGAAGGTTTAGAGGGTTGTTTGGGAATTCATGTAGATGATGGGATAGGAGGTGGAAGCCCAAAATTCATGGCCATGTTGAAAAGGGTTGAAGCTCGTTTCAAGTTTGGTGCTTTTGAACAAATTCACTTACACCGGGATCCATTTTCGGCAGTGGGACGATGGTTCCATTGAGTATGATCAGGGTTCTTACATCGAGAAGATTGGTCCAATTGTTTTGGGAAAAGGTAGGAAGGATGACCCCGAAGCATTGATCTCGGAAAGTGAAAGAACCGCGTCTAGAAGCTTGATCGGAGCTTTACAATATGCAGCTGTTCATAGCCGACCAGATTTGGCCGCAAAGATTGGAGAATTGCAAGGTGAAGTGACAAGAGCTCGGGTGAAACATCTTTGTTTAGCCAACAAGGTCCTAGCAGAGGCGAAACAGCATCGGGTCTCACTAATGGTGTTGCCCATTGACCCGGGAAATGTCACATACTGCGCGTTCTCAGACGCTTCCTTTTCATGTATCAAGCATACCACGGCACATCAAGGAACTATCATTTTTGCAACAACGCCTGAACTACTCGGGAATAAGAAAGCTGTTGTTGCTCCTGTTGCCTGGTATAGCACAAAGGTACCCCGAATTGTGAGAAGCACCTTGGGAGCAGAAGCGGCTGCTCTTAGCAACTCAGCAGATCGGCTACTGTGGATCAGAGTGCTCTGGGCCTGGTTGTTAAATCCAGACTGCAATTGGAAGGAACCAGAGAAGTTGTTGACTGGTGAGAATCGTGCTGCACTGGTGACTGATTGCAAGTCAGCGTATGCCTTGTTGACTCGTACAGCCCTTCCCCAGTGCACAGAGCATCGAACCACTATAGAATGCCTCCTCATTCGCGAACGACGTCTTCGCGATAATGCAATCGTTAGGTGGGTGAGTTCTCAAGCAATGTTGGCAGACTGTTTGACTAAGACTATGGACAGCAGTGTGTTGCGGGAGTGTCTCAGGACAGGTAGGTATGTTTTGCAAGACGAGACGAGGGACATGTTCTGAAAGAAAGGCTCACCTCGAGAGAACGATTGAAGTGGATCAAAGAACATAGATCACAGAAACCAAGTACAGAAGAACAAAGTACAGAAGAGGCCATGACAGTAGAACAACCTGGTGCAAATGACCATGCACGAGATTTTTGGAAACGCGGCAGACACGGTGAGGTGATCAGGGTGCACAATGTGCCTAGATATCAGATGTTCACTCCTGTCGGGGTAGCTGATTGTCCGGTAGATCTCAGGGGATTAGAGGTTTTCCTTGACACCATTCTACAGGGGAAGACAGCAGAGAGGAGCTATTGGGTTGGCACCTGTGCACATAAAAGATTACCATTTCCGTGGAAAGGCGAGACAATTTTTTATTTGAAAAAGAAGTGTTGATGAGTGTGAAACTCACAAGTTTCTTGCATGAAAGGAAGATGTCTCGCCTCGTGCCCGCGCTCGGTTCGACCCACTTACAAGGGTGGGAGGGAGGCTGTTCATGTGAGACAAAGGTGCGGTCACCAGTCTGGTTAGGTTCTGGATAGGGCAGAGTTCCCTACTGTAGGTCAATCAATACTCCAGTGCGAGTTCAACAATATATATATATAGTGATGGCCTCCAACCTAATAGCAATGGCCTCCAAGCTAACAGCGACGATGGTGCAAGCACATTCCGCGTTTCTCTGGGCGTCTCATTTCTCCGGCCTTCAGGTCGACAGAACCCTGCTCCCACAAGATGATAGGCCTGACTCAGAAGGTCAACAAGTAACAGTAAAGCGTTCAAGCAGCAGCTTCCAATAATTAAGCTGTCAGAATGATCTTGGATCTGCTGGTAAGAGGCATGGTCCTATTCTAGTTCTTTCATTCAAAGCAAGCTCCTCTCACTACCTAGCCTGCTGCCAGCCAACCTCCCTTTTCTTTCCCTTATCTTCCCAATACAGAGCTAGTCTTGGCGTGATGCGTGCGAATCTGTGAATCGCTTTTTGGACAGTAATGCCCGTGCCGACCGCTACCCATGAATGATGGATCATGATCTTTGTTTCCTACTATGACAAGGCTTCAACAAATCAATCGGCCAACCTTCGTATAGTTCTGCCACTTCTCCGCACGGCAAACTGACCCATAGGGTGCTCTCGTTGGTGTGTCAGAGGCATTGGCAAGGTTGAAGTAGACCTGAATTTGTTGTTCAGCTGCTTGCTGAGCTGTTTCCCTGTTGTCAAAAAGCGAACAGAAACAGTACTTTTGGGATGGGCAAAATGCAGAATATCCTTCAATATCCTGGTTACAAGAGGATTGAAACGGGAAATCACATAGCGGCTTGATCCGGGCTGGCTTTCAAACAATCTGGATACTGCTCTAATTTTGGACCTTGGATGAGGTTCGGAGTTTCCCTGACCTTCCCAATCATCCAGGCCTTCCAGTCCTGCAGCCCATACATGCAATCCTTGTGCCCACCTGGCATATGCTCCAAGAAAGAATTCTGCACCTCTTCGGACTCTTCGGACATTGAGTTTCTTGTTTTGTGCACAGGTTGAGTCTGCTTTACAATTGGCAACACGGACTTCCCAAAGATGCTTGCCTCTTTTGAAGACTGTTCCTCCCCACTGCTTGCCCATGACCCTCGCAGCAACTTTGCACTCTGCGGCACTGTCGATCACCATTTCATCCCTGGGACGACATGCTTTGAGCTCCGGTGATGTCTAACCGTCTAACCGCATCTCTTAACTGTGGTCTGTTGCTCTTCACTTTTCCAGTGTCACCAAATCTGAGGCAAGCGGCGGGCAGTATTGCATCCACTCAGTTATTTCATAGACCTCATTTTGACTCTCTTCAGCTGATGAACCTGTGACCGCTTGGACCAAGCTTGGACGGTCCTGTCAGTCTTACTTGGGTCTTGACTCTGTGATTGTAGCCAAAGTCTTGCTGCAAACCTTGACAAGTATGTGTCTCTCGCAGAATTTGAAACCCCAGCTTTGCAGAAATCGCGCTGAGGACTCCACGTACCAAAACCTACCACATTTGAAGAACATGTGATGCTGTTGACAAATATGTGCAGTATATAAATAGTGTGTGTGTGTGTATGTGTAACCCTTGGAGTCATAGGGATCCTTTTGGATTTTAATTTGTTTTATCGCAGGGGAGCGGTGGGCATTCTTGAAGTCACCGCTCAACGAAGACACTTCAAGTTTGCTGTGATATGCAATCTGGACGCAGATTGCACGTACCTGCATTTTCCTTTTCCGAATGGCAAGAGGCTAAGCCAAGAACCTCATTGAACGTACGCCGTCACCTCGCCCTGTTCGTCGTCTCGTGGCCTTTAACTACAGGAACTCTGGTCCCCTTCACCTGGTTTTTCAGGATTTGGGTCTCTTAGGCCGGCGTGTGGCACCGCATTCAGTTCAGTACACAATATCTCAAGTGTGTTTGGCTTCGTGCCAACCCGGGATGAGCCCGCAGAGTGCCTCCCGTGGACCCGTCGAACGGGTGTATGTCTTTCTCTCCCTTGCTTTGGAGAGGTAGGTGTCCGGAGCGGACAGCAGGTGGCCTCGGCCGTACGTCCGATGATTTTTGTCCCATCTTTGGAATTCCAAGTTGGCTCATGCCTTTACGCGACCGCAGCGGTCAGAGGTGGCAGCCTTCGGGCAAGCCGTACGTGGTCGCAGCGACCAAAGTTTGTTCAAGGCTCATTGGAGTCTGTTGGCAGTTGATCCTCCTCCTCTCGCCATGTTCCCTTCTCCGGCTGGTCTCACTCCTGTGGACGGCATCACGATGAGGGCCCAGACTATTCTACATCGAGAGATTCTTCATTTACATGGTTTATTGATTCTCGCAATCTCCCTTCTACGCACCCGCTTCGCTATTCTCAACCCTTCGTTTATGGACCACATCACATCACCCCATATTCAGTTACAGATTCGAGGTCTGGACTCTGCGATTCGACAGGCGACACAGGCTATCCATAATGGTGTGCACTATATTCAGGAACTCCTCACCACCTTTGGGATGATGCATGCCTTGAATTGCGACACCACTCAACTGGATGCTGAACTACGTGGATGCTCGACCTTCCCTGAACCCCCCTTCCTTCTTTTCCTGCTTCTCCTCTAGGTCCGACTACGACTCGAAGTATGACATCTACCAGTTCTATTCCGGCGGTATCACCGACTCCGCCACCGAGCACCCCTACGATTCGTACTCCACATCGGCCTGTGATTAATCGATTCAGGACAGCACCGTCACGCTCTCGGTCTCACCCTCGTTTGAACTCTAGGAATCTCTAGATACCTCCTTCGCTCACTCTTCCAATCTCGTGAGAAAATGTCCTTTTATGTTTCCAACTTACTCCAGCGCTTCGAGACACCTTTTCACAACTCTATACTTTTGGTTCTTGTGGCTCTCAGCTTTCCCAAGCCCTTTACCTATATCTAACCCCGTCGAGCTCACACCCCTCGCTCCTCTTCGTCGCCATGTCGACGCCACCCACGGGATTGACCTCAATCACAGGCCTACCTGCTGCTGCTCATGAGGTACTTCATCGTGAACTTCTTCATATACACTCTTCTTTACATTTGATTCTCCTGATCTTACGTGGACCTCTGGACTCCGTCACTCCCTCCATTGTGGACACGATCACCTGCCCTCGTCTCAGCGCTACCCTTCGTGCACTGGAGACCAGCCTTGACCAGATTCGACGATCTACCCGCACTACACTGGTCTACGCCGATGAACTATGCTCCACTTTGGCATTTCCACGTCCTACTGGCCACTTGGGTTCCTCTCCTACATCCTTTTCTTCGCCCAGGCCTCCTCTTATCCTCTTTCCTTCTCCTCCTTCTCCACCTGTGACGCCGTCGATGACTACTACCACGGATCCCTGTCCTCCTCAAGCTCCTCCTCCTTCTCTGACTCCTTCGGTTCCATCTTCGACTTTGACAAGGAGGCCAAGCTCTCACTCACCCTCTCGGTCACGATCCCCTCCGCGACGATTCAGATTTTAGCCGATTTCTCACCGACCGAACCACGAAACACTTACTTTTGCAGAAAAAGCTCTCCTTTTCCACTGGATTCTGTTTTATGATTGATCACTCAATTTTTGTTTTCATTTTGGTCCTTCGGTGTCCTCGCCGACTTTATTCCTATTCCTTTTTCTTTCCTATGTTATCTTCGGCTCACTAGCAACTGCTCGTCTCGCTCCCGCGCTTCTTATTGCTTCTTCTGCCATGACTTCGACATCTACACCACCTTGTGGTTTGGCACCGATCCATGGTCTTCCACCTCGTGCTCAAGCAATGCTACATCGTGAACTTCTTCTCGTACATGTTCTCTTGGCCCAGGTCCATGCCCTACTCCACATACCACTCAGCATTCGCACTATTCCGTTCATGTCTCGGGTCACACACCCACAACTTCGAGCTCACCTTGAAGGCTTGGACAATACACTCCTTCTCGCTCTTCGGCTCAACCACACCGCTGTCCACTACACCCACGAGCTCCTTACCGCCCTGGGCCTCCTTCATATTATCTTACTTTTATATAGTGGTATTTTGGTATTTTTTTTGGCTGCTTTTGACTGTTTTCATGGGAAGTGAAAGAGCTGCAAAAACGAGAATAGAAAATAACTTTCAAACATTTTTGTGGTGACTGAACCGCAAAAACACTAAAAGGCAAAGATGCACGCCATCATTATGTTTCATCAGTTCCTCCTCCCAAATGGTTAGATTCCTGTGATCACATTTTCCCCTTCAGGTGTGTGTGTGTGTGTGCTATCTTGGTCTTGTTGAAAATCTTTCACTTACACATACATGGGGTGAAAATAAAAATCAATAGCTTCCACGAGAAAGCTCACATGAGAAAACGAGACTTGAAAATAGCGCAGGGCTAGTCATTTTGCACTTGCACTGCTCCCTCATTCACGCACGCACAGGCTGCCGCCAGTGGCCGGAGCAGCCACATGGCGACAGTCTGTGGGAAACCTAGTTTAATTAGCATTGCTTGCCACACTTTAATTTAAAGCGCCCAGTCTTCAGATTGCAAGTGATTGCGCACCCAGCTGCGACCTGCCTCTGAATAAGCTCCATGAGAATGTGTGTAGCAAGCCTGTGGGCCTGTGGCCATTGGCTTTTGCTCAAGCATTTGTATTTTTGCAAGAGCTTCCAAGGGTGATAAGACTTGAGCAGTTTCTGTTGAACCAAATGAGCTGTTTCGCCACAACCCTTTCCATTATTGCCATCATCATGGAAAAACTGCGCGTTTTGACGTCGCAGCATTGCAATGTGAAATTCAACTAAAATTCACGTTTTGAAGGACGCTTTCCCTTGGGCCAAACCATTCAATTATCCTTTACTTGCAACTTGCGAACTTAAGCACACATGACTGACCTCAATTATCAACCCAGACCCAGACACCTAATAATTTTTCCGCACCAGCAAGTTTCAAAAAACGCTGGGCGAAGCAGCCAGCAGACGGTGTTGGCCCTGGCCGAAGCAGCCAAAGGCCACTCACCCCTCGTCCAAAGGATCCCAAACATCCTCCTCGAATGCCTCTTCCTCCTCTTCATTGTCGTCGTCATCTGCCTGCTCTGCCTCGAGACGCGGCTTTTTCGACTTGGGCTCTGACTTTGCCTCCGCCTTTGGTTTTCCCTTAGGCTTGGGAGCTGGCTTTGGCTTGGGAGCCGACTTTACCTTTGGCTTGGGGCGTGGCTTGCGCTTCGGGATCGCTGGCTGCGATGAAGAAGTCGTTGACCCCACAGCTTGCGCATAGGCACTGTTGAACAATGGCGAGGCAGTCTCCTTCACGCTCACCTTCATTAGGTCCAGGAGCCGTTCTTCCATCAGCTTGACATGGGTGTCAATGTAGCAGATGCCCATGTACGCAGTCCTATAGTCTTGACGCATGCCCACGCCAACTTTCCATCAGCTGGGCTCAAGTCCAGCACCAGCTTGGCATAGAAGGTGTGCAGGAGCTCCTCCATCAGCTCAAGCGGTGGCGAGAAGTAGCAAACAGGCTCGGGCAAATCTTTGGTTCGGTCGTTGATTTTTGGCTCATCCTCTCCACCTTCTGTGCGCCCGCCCACCGCGATCAAGTGGCGCTTGCCATACAGATCCTTTTTCTCCGACCACTTCATGCTCCATTCATCAGTGAGCTTAGGAAGGGCCACGCCCTGAATGAGGTCACCTGTTGAGCTGCCAACATAATGGAGTCTTGGCCGTTGTGGAGTAGCTTAGCCGAAGCAGCTAAAGCTTTCAAACTTGCTTCACTTGAGTGAAAAACGGCTGCAAACGAGCAATTTGAAGTCTGAGAAGATAGGGCAAATCGCCCTCTTCTTTCGAGGTTCAAGAACGTTCCCGAGCCTCGGGTGGAGAGGGCAGTGAGGGGACAACTATGGGCAAAACTATATTATATAGTGGTATTTTTGTTTCGCCCTCTCCTTTCGAGGTTCAAGAACGTTCCCGAAGCTCGGGTGGAGAGGTCAAACCGCCCTCTCCTTTCAAGCACTGTCGTCGATTTTTTCACCTTCGAGCTGAGAAGTCAGCTCGCGCCTTGCCCGCTTCCAACTTTCTAAGGTTTTTTAATTAGCAAGCCCCGGCCGAAGCAGCCAGTGACTTAACCTCAAGCCTACAACAAACCCTGCAACCTTGGCCGAAGCAGCCAATGGAAGTAACGGCTGCTGCGACGAAGTTAGCCCGGCCTGCTCTTTTTGGAAAGGCGTGCTGCAGCCTTAGGCCACACGATCCCACTTTTGAAGCTGCCAGTCTTCAAATAAAGGGAGTCAGGTGCGATCTGCACTGCAAAGGCAAAATCCCCACACCAAGTCTCCAACATAGTGTCCCAGTCGAAGCGGTCGTGAGTCGCCCGACTTTGTGACAATGCTGCCATCACTTCAGTAGCGTGCCAAAAGTCATTTTTGACATAGTTATTCAATGCCAGTGTCTTGCCTGGCGCACGCGCAGGAAGAGCAGTCA